AATTTTATCATTTTGAATTACTGTTGTTCTCGAGCGAAAATTATTTGTGTTCGCAAGACATGTAGTATGTTTCAAATTTTTGATACTTTGATTGGGAAAATAGAGATATTTCCGAATAACTGATAGGATTTAACAGCTGTGTTTATTTGAGATTTTAAATAATTACTAATTGCTGTTCCATACTTGTGTACTTTAATGTCACGAGTTCTAAGTGCACCACGTGATCTTATGCCACGTGCTCCACGTATATAACATATTCTTATGTCAAGACCTTTTCATTTATCTATGGGCCCAGATAAAAATTATTAATTATCCATCAGTATTTCATATTTATTTTCTTTAGCAAATATTCAATAAAACGATAAAAAAAATGTATGCTAAGAGCAGCTACAAATATAACCCTGTTCTTTCTTCTATTTCAGGCGTTTGCCTGTTCCCCATTCCACCCACTCCTGCTGGACCTAGTGTCGGAAGAAACTGACTTCCAGATTTGACACCACCATCACATTCTTTGCTGAACATGCGTTGTTAATTCGTGTTTGTTACGGTTTCTTGTTTACACCGTAAACATGTGTTGAGTCATTTGCATCCGTAAACCACAGATGTACTGAAGGTGGGGGTGTTCTTAATATTTAATAACAAGATTATTAATTTACACGTTTTTCCTTACTGATCTACCATCAACAATGATATTTTAATTAATCGTCTCGTGATGATTTAAAAGCTTTATCAAAATGATGAAACTAGGTTTAACAGTTTTTTTATTGAGAGAGTTTCTGGTGAATCTTAGTAGACTCTGAAGAAGACGTTTGGAGAAATTTTTTTTTTTTCTGCCGTAAAGGAACATCTATGGCAAGAAAGTAATTGAACTTTCTATAAAGTCAGCTGTAGTGTTTTAAAGCAATGACTCTCTAGTAATACACAGTTTGTTTTCGCTCTTACAGTCCATTTGTTATGTTCGTCATAGCTCTTAAAGTCCGTTTGATATGTTTGTCATAGCTCTTGCAGTCCATTTGATATGTTTGTCATAGCTCTTACAGTCCATTTGATATGTTCGTATTAGCTCTTACAGTTCGTTTGTTATGTTTGTCATAGCTCTTACAGTCCATTTGATATGTTCGTATTAGCTCTTACAGTCCATTTGGATATGTTTGTCATAGCTCTTACAGTCCGTTTGTTATGTTTGTCATAGCTCTTACAGTCCATTTGTTATGTTTGTCATAGCTCTTACAGTCCGTTTGTTATGTTTGTCATAGCTCTTAAAGTCCATTTGATATGTTCGTATTAGCTCTTACAGTCCATTTGTTATGTTCGTCATAGCTCTTACAGTCCACTTGTTATATTTGTCATAGCTCTTAAAGTCCGTTTGATATGTTTGTCATAGCTCTTGCAGTCCATTTGATGTGTTTGTCATAGCTCTTACAGTCCGTTTGTTATGTTTGTCATAGCTCTTGCAGTCCATTTGATGTGTTTGTCATAGCTCTTACAGTCCGTTTGTTATGTTTGCCATAGCTCTTACAGTCCATTTGATATGTTCGTCATAGCTCTTACAGTTCATTTGTTATGTTCGTCATAGCTCTTACAGTCCATTTGATGTGTTTGTCATAGCTCTTACAGTCCATTTGATATGTTCGTATTAGCTCTTACAGTCCGTTTGTTATGTTTGTCATAGCTCTCTTACAGTCCATTTGATATGTTTATCATAGCTCTTACAGTTCGTTTGTTATGTTTGTCATAGCTCTTACAGTCCGTTTGTTATGTTTGTCATAGCTCTTGCAGTCCATTTGTTATGTTTGTCATAGCTCTTGCAGTCCATTTGTTATGTTTGTCATAGCTCTTACAGTCCATTTGATATGTTTGTCATAGCTTTTACAGTCCATTTGATATGTTTGTCATAGCTCTTACAGTCACACCGTATTTCCCGATACTGTAGCCCCGCTGAAATCCAGAGTTCGATTCCTGGTGATGGACACAGCAGGTAGCCCAATGTGACTTTACCGATACAATAGTCAGTTTCAGTTGTTGATGTAAAAGTACTGTTTTGTTCTATTGGTAACGTCAGGCTTGGAACGTGCACGTGCATATCTCAGGGCTGCGTGAATTTCTAACACTACACTCTCTTTAACGATTATTTGATTCTTCGGTCACACACACATTCACACTGGTATGGTGTCCCTCTAGTGACTGGACGCGAAACTTTTCCATTACTCTTATAGGAAACGGTTGGTTTACCACCAGTTGCTGCCTTTTACTCTAGCGTAATGCACTACTCTCTTGGAAAATAATTCGAGAGTCCTCTAACTATTTTTTGAATGTCAGAGATTAACGGTATATTTTCTTTATTTCATTCCAATCTTTGTTCTCACCTTGAACAAGAATGGAATGGAGACTTCGTTGTTTTTTTTCTTCTTCTTATCATTCTTTTTAAAACTTCTAATCTTTATCGTATTCGGGTACGTGCAATCTATAATAACCCGTGCACTCTTTGTACAGTTTCATTAAGATCTGAATAGTTTGTTTTGTTTTTAACGTTATTTTGTGAGAGATTGACATTTATTAAACACAGAAATAAGCCGGTGTTCACGTATGTAAATAATGTAAGAGTGAAACAAGGGTATTGTGATGTATTGTTGTCCAAATGTAGGCTTAGTTCACGTACTGTCAATAAATATTATGAGTGACGTATGTGTGTTTCTTCGAACTAAAACACGGGAAACTTTCCCGAGAGAAATGTTTTGTTTGACAACATTTTAACAAGAGCGAAAGATAAACTAGAGACATACACCTCAGTGACTAAGAGAAGTCACTTTCAGTCATTAAGAGCAGTCACAAGATTAGTGACTTTCATTCACTAAAAGTAATCACTTTTAAATAAATGGATGTTTACAAGACTATTTTTTGGTAGTAAATGTACTGGAACATTTTAAAACAACGTTTCTCCAACCGAAACGACAGAAAACAAAATTCAAACGTTTATTTAAAACATAAGCAATAAAAAGAAAAATTTTGACTTTATAGTTTTTTTTTTTACAAATTTTTGGAAATTTCGGATAAAACTTCTGAGAAACATTAGGTTTATTTTACAAGAACAAATCAATGGAATTTTTAATCACTTGAGATTCTCAAAATTCAACAGATAGCTGTGAACCAAAACTTAATGTTCTTTTGACCACAGCATGTGTTGGTTGAAATATTTCTTGATTACAGTTTTTTTCAAACAACATATCATTGTTGCAAGATTTAAAAAAAGAATAAAAATGCTTTACCAAATTGGTTTGCATGATATAATACTTAATTTTGGTTCTGTAAGCCCCAAAGAACAAATATGAAAATTCCAGCAAAATGTGTGCTTAAACTTAATGTGCATTATGAAGTTAGGTCTAAATTTGTTTTCCCTAAAGTGCAGTTTTGGATCCCAAAATATCATACAAATGCGTTTTTTAGGAAAATATTGACAATGGCTTGAAATGTGAAATGTTTTGTTCTTTCTTCTTACATTTTGAAATTTCCTACCATTTGATGTAAAAGCTCATAGGTGGCGCTATAGCCTTGACTTTTAAAATTTGTTATACAGGTACAAATATATATATATATATATAATAAATTTATGTAGAGTCAGTTAAACCTAGTCCCTGATCTAAAGATACCAGTTTGAAGTGGAACGTGTGCTGTTAAACAGTGTAATTATTATTTGATTAAAAGCCTGTAATATTGAGACTTTTTGAAAACAACTCATGTACAATATTAACCTTAAAAAAGGGCAAGTAACAAATATTTAACTGAATAAATAAACGATGATAATGGAGCAAGAATCCTCATTTTCATCGGAAAAGAAAATACTATCTAAAAGCTACAAAGTAAACTTTTACTGAGAATAGCCCTGTAAAAGGTGGAGACACTAGAAACACTACAAACTTGTACTGTGAAGAGTGTAGTTAGAAACACTACAAACTTGTACTGTCAAGAGTGTAGTTGGAATCAATGCAAACTTGTACTGTCAAGAGTGTAGTTGGGATCAATGCAAACTTGTACTGTCAAGAGTGTAGTTAGAAACACTACAAACTTGTACTGTGAAGAGTGTAGTTAGAAACACTACAAACTTGTACTGTCAAGAGTGTAGTTAGAAACACTACAAACTTGTACTGTCAAGAGTGTAGTTGGAATCACTACAAACTTGTACTGTAAAGTGTGTAGTTAGAAACACTACAAACTTGTACTGTCAAGAGTGTAGTTAGAAACACTACAAACTTGTACTGTCAAGAGTGTAGTTAGAAACACTACAAACTTGTACTGTCAACAGTGTAGTTGGAATCACTACAAACTTGTACTGTCAAGAGTGTAGTTGGAAACACTACAAACTTGTACTGTCAACAGTGTAGTTGGAATCACTACAAACTTGTACTGTCAAGAGTGTAGTTAGAAACACTACAAACTTGTACTGTAAAGTGTGTAGTTAGAAACACTACAAACTTGTACTGTAAAGTGTGTAGTTAGAAACATTACAAAGTTGTACTGTCAAGAGTGTAGTTGGAAACACTACAAACTTGTACTGTCAAGAGTGTAGTTGGAAACACTACAAACTTGTACTGTCAAGAGTGTAGTTGGAAACACTACAAACTTGTACTGTAAAGTGTGTAGTTAGAAACACTACAAAGTTGTACTGTCAAAAACTATACAAACTTGTGATGTGGAGAGTGTTGAAGTTAAAACACTATACAAACTTGTGGTGAGGAGAGTGTTGAAGTTAAAACACTATACAGACTTGTGGTGTGGAGAGTGTTGAGAAGTCAAAACACTATACAAACTTGTGGTGTGGAGAGTGTTGAGAAGTCAAAACACTATACAAACTTGTGGTGTGGAGAGTGTTGAGAAGTCAAAACACTATACAAACTTGTGGTGAGGAGAGTGTTGAAGTTAAAACACTATATAAACTTGTGGTATGGAGAGTGTTGAGAAGTTAAAACGCTATACAAACTTGTGGTGTGGAGAGTG